CTCAATAAAAATGCCACCATCGCACACAGCTCTACCACTCTTGTCCCAGCTCTATGGCCCTCAGGTGGGAATCACCTGGAGGTTGTCTATGTATGTCTGTGAGGAACTTTTGGGGTAACCACGTAGCTGCAGCTGAGCACCAGAGATTTTATTCTAGGTGCTCTCGGTGGATTCCTATTGAAGAGCCGCCCGCCCTGCTTCCCCTCTTCCTTAAAGTTCTCTGACTCTAAAGTCAAAGCTAGGGCCAAAATGAATGCTGCCTGCTCCACACTTGCCTGACACATGGAGGCAATTATCAGACTTCACCTGTCACCATGTGCCCTTACTGTATCTTTCTTGCAGACCCACAGTCTCCACAGCATAGTCTCCAGGCAAGAACCGAGGACTCAGCAGCTCTGGAAAGCTGCAAGCTCCTTTCTAGAGCCTGGCACATGGACAATGGGTGTTGGCTCACTGTAGAACTCTGGCAGCCTGGCTAGGTTTCCTGCAAGAGCTGAATGGACAGAGTGAAGTAGGGGAGAACAGCCTGGATACCCCACAAGAGACAGATTAGACAGGTCAGAGCCACATCTTGGAACTCAAGAGTATTGCAGGGGAAGAATTCAACAACAATGGACTGATAATAACCTGCCCCGTGGCCTAGAGCACTTCAGCCAACTGGGGACTTCTGTAGACAAAGGCCATCAAAAGGCAGAGCACTAGGGAGCAGACTGGTGGTGAGTTTGAAGTGACAAGCTGGCTGGAATAGTTGGTATGCCCAGCTGGAATCAGTAGCCCTAGTCTACTTCGGCTTCTGCCCCAGCCTCAGCAGTGACCTCTAATGTTCTGTGCCCCTTCCCATTGTCCTACAGCACAAGGGTCCAGCTCCCTGCAAAACCCAGGCCACAGACACACCTTCATCATCTTGTGTTGCTTAAAAAGTATCAGTAGGGGTTGGAGGGGATGGTTCAGTGGTTAAGAGCACTTTCTGCTGGTGTAGAGGACCTGGGTTCAATTCCCATCACCCACATGACTGTTTACAACCATCCATAACTCTAGTAACTCCAGCTCCAGGGAATCCAACTCCTTCTTCTGACCTCTGCAGGCACCAGGCACATACATGGTGCACAGACATACATGCACACAAAGCACTCATACATGAAACTAAATCTTTTTTTAAAGGTGTGTCAGTACATATGACAAACAGTGACGTGTTTAATTTTTTTTTAATGTGTCTGTGAGCCTGTAGGGTTCAATTTAGGAGGAGGCTATGCACCAGAATGTGAGGCACCATGACCACCGCACCTCTCTGCCACCACAGGGACCTGCCAGAGAGCTCATGGCCACACCTGCTCCCTTCTCTTTCAGCATGGCCACTCTGCTCAGATGTCACTATCTTCCTGTGGGGAGGGGATGGGCAGGACAGTGGGTCCTCCTGTAGCATGTCAGTACAGAGGTCTGGCTCCCAGATAGGAGGCTGGAAAAGGAAGTGAGTGGGGTAGACCCTTTCTGTGAGCTCTGCTTGCTCTCTGGGCCAGGATTGGTCTACAAGCAGTTTTCCCTGCTTACCCCAAACTCCAAGCTCCCACGGTGACAAATCTAAGCACTGGATTCTCTGGGGATAATGCAAAAATGTTACCCAGGGATCTTTGAGAGGACTCCCAAATCAGGAAAGAGGTTGGCAGGGAGTGAGCAGGCAAGCTCAGCACACACTGCTGGAGGATAGCCCACTCCACCCTCAGCAAGAGGGAAGCAGCAAGTGAAAACTGAGCTGAGCTGGGCCCTGGTCAGGTCGCTGTCAGCACGTCCTCCTGGCCTCCTCCACCATCTTTGTGTTGTAATTTCAGCAGGCTCACTGGAGTTCTTCAATAGTTTCAGAGGGGAGGCTGATGTAACTCAGTTGGAAGAGTGCTTGCCTAGTATGCAGGAAGCTCTGAGTTTGATCCCCAGCCCTGCATAACCCCAGTATGATGACACACACCTATAATTCCAGCATTTCATTGGGGCAGAAGGATCAGAGGTTGATCACAGCTACATAGCTGTGAGTTTGAGGCTAAGTGGTGCTGCTTGAGACCCTGAAGAGGAAGGGAGGGAAAGAGGGGAAAGAGGAACCAGAAGAAGGGGAGGGGGAGGAGAAGAAGAAGGAAGAGAGATTCTCTCGGGGTTGTGGCCAGGTTGGGATATGAGTGAGGCAGCAGGCGGGCACTGTCGGCCAGGAGAGAACAGTGGGAATAAAACCCAGGCCTCCGGACTCCCTAACTTGTGTGAGAAAAACCTTGAATTCTCATCATGCAGAACTCAGATACCCCGTGCTGCTAGCCCTGGGAGCAAAAGGGATCCTCTGAGCCATACCTCTCTACAGGTCCTCCTTTTCCAGGACACACCCAGACACTCAGAAGAAGCCAACTTCATCCTATCACCCACTGCAGACTGTGGCACTCACTGGCCAAGGGACTGCGTGCTAGCAAGAGTGCACCCAAACTTCCTTAGCCAGGACAGCACTAAAGAATGAAGTCTCCCTGAGAGGAAGGACACACTGGCAAGAGACCAGTTGCACTGTAGGACCTATCACAGCCCATACCTCCAGACCCTGTTTCCAAAGCACTCTGCAAAACTCTCAGCCTCTCCAGGAAGAATGGCCCAGCTCACTTGGGGACTGACCCCAGAAGAGGCTCATGGAATAAGACCAACTTCCTGCCAATAGTGAAATGAAGATTTAAAATCGTGAAAAGGAAGGCTCCAGAAGGTGCCCCCCTCCACTTCTATTGGCACAGAAACAGCTTCATAGGAAGCAGGAGGGGACGCCTGGGCTTAGAGTGTGAGGTCTAGCTGCCGCTAGCTTGTTCTTTTGTTTGTGTTTTTCTACACTAGCTGTAAGACATAATTTTAAAAATCGAGAGAGCCAGAGATGAGATCAATGCAGACGGCGCAGGTACGGTGGCCAGTGTAGGGGGGGCACACCACCCATGAGGGCTACTGAGAAGTCCTACTGCACTCCAGAGGCCAAGCTGGGGAGAACCGGTGTGGGGCTGGCCACACTGCCATGGTATGGGGGGGGGGGGGCACAGAGCCAGCCCTAACTAAAGCGCTGGTGCTCCTCCTTCTCTTTCTCTCTTTTTCTCTCCCCCTCCCACAAACACCTTGTAAACTCCAGGCACCTGCAGTTAGTCCACACTGCTCCCCTCTGCAGGCTCTATCACACACATACCATGGGAACCATTCCTCCTCTGTAGTCAATGGCTCAAAGCTTTCGGCAGTGTCTTCTTCCTTCTCCTACCCTTCTGGTCTTCTCCCCTTCCTTTCTTTCCTCATATGGGCCAGCAGGCATTCTCTCTTTACCCCCTTACTTTCCCCTTCCCCCTCTCCCCTCCTTTCCTTTCCTTTCCTCTCCTCTCCTCTCCTCTCCTCTCCCCTCCCCTCCCCTCCCCTCCCCTCTCCTCTCCTCTCCCCTCCCCTCCCCTCCCCTCCCCTCCCCTCCCCTCTCCTCTCCTCTCCTCTTCTTTCCTTTCCTTTCCACACTTTACAAGGATCAGTGAGAGTCACCCAGTCACTGGTGCATCTCTGCGAACCTCCCCTTTGGCTAAGGACACCGGGATTGGACAATACACACAGCTATTTTCACACACAGAGAACGTGGGCCAAGGCACTGACTGACTCATCACACTTACATACCTATTCACCCGCAGAGGGGCCATGAGGGACACTCAGCCCTGCTAGAGGGACAGAGACCCAACAAGCTTAGCCCTGGTGGTCACAGACACCCTCAAGCAGATCTCGAGGCCTCCTGAAGTACCTTGGCTTGAACTCACACCGAGCATTTGGCTCACTCCTAGTACCTGGTTTATCCCAGCTCTGCAGGTGGAAGAGGGAAAGAATCTGGGAGGGGTTCCCGGCCTTTAGAAACAGAGCCATGGACCCTCGGTCACACATACGTCTTCTCTCTCAATCTTTCCCCCAAGTCTCTTTAAACCTGAGCCAAGTGAAATGAAACTGGTCCCCACACCTCCTGACGTTGTCTATAGAGAAGCTGGACTCTACAGAAAGTGTAACCAAGGGGACACCTGAAAGCGCCGGGCTCGCGCCCAGGGCTCTGCTCCCATTTTGGTTCTCATAGCCCGAGGCAGCAGCGAGCAAGCGACTGCTCCAAGACAGAAAAAAAATCCGAGGTCTGTCTCATCCTCTACGTGTCAATCCCGGGAGTAACAACCTCAGAACTGCAGGAAAGCCAGCGTTTGCTCCGTGGGATCTGGGTGTCTGCCTGTCCAGCTGGGCACCTCACCAAGGCCAGGGAGAGTGCATCGACCTCCTGAGCTTGTCTGGTCAAACTTGTGGGAGTTCCGCAAGAAGTACCGTTCTGTGCGCCGGAGTGTGCGTGGGCTTGGGAGCGGGACGGCCGCTCTGAGCCCCAGGCCTGCATCCTAGTCTCCACCCCCGCTCCCCAACCCACCAAGTGCTGGAGCCCAGCAAACCTCTTGTTTTCTGCAGAGTTGTGCCGGGTCGCCTCCCTCGCGCAATGGATTATCCATCTAGCGGAGCCAGCCTGAGCGTTGGGCACATTTCCCTGAGGATACTGGGGACCGAGAGAAGAGGCGGTTAGAAGGACCAGTGGGGAGTAATTAAGTTTAGCAGAGGGTGTGGGGCGGTCTTCTCTACGTCTGGGCGGTCCAGTCTGCCACTGCCAGGCTCTAAACAACGCCCCACGCGAGGAGGTGAAAGGACACCGCCCCCTCCCCTTTTCTCCTTTCTATTCCTCCTATCCATCCTCCTTCTCTTCTCTCCCTCCCCTTTTCCCTCTTCACCTCCTCCCTCCTCCTCCCTCCCTCCCCACCCTCCCGCTGCGCTGCGCCAGAGAGATCCACCCAAAGTCCCAGAACCCTAGCTCGCGTCCAATCGCCGAGGGGGGCGGGGCCTGTGGAAGGGGCGGGGCAGAAGGAAGAAGGGGCGGGGAGGGGTGGGGAAGGATCTGCTACCCCGAGCTCGGGCTAGCGAACGCTGCGACCTAGGCAGCAGTGGTGGCGGGCATGGGCGATGGGGGCGCGGAGCGGGACCGCGGCCCCAAGCGCGGTGGCCGGAGCGGACGCCACGGCGACCACAACGGAGCGGAAGACTTGCGTGCTGACACGGGTAGCAGGAGTCCAAGGGAGGTTGCGGCGACCTCGGTCTCCAGCCCCGCAGGCTCCAGGGAGAGCGGCGCAGACAGCGACGGACCGCCGGCGCTCGGTGAGACGGACCACTGCCGCCGCATCCTGGTACGAGGTAAGGGGACAGCCGCGGCTCTGGTTCCTTGGGTCACCATGCTACCCTTCCTGGGGCCTCCGACCTCTCTACAGCGTCCATCTCACAGTTCATATACTGGTTCATTCATTCGGCATAACATCCAGCAGTTATTCCGACCGCCTATTGTGTGCGGGACACTGAGCTGAACGCAGGGGACAAAGCAGAGGCTGGAAGGAGTCCTTGTTTCTCCGTCCTGCAGTTCATCCTTCTGGCTGGTTCTCTCACACTAGGCCCATTCCGGCTCGTTGCTGTAGTAAGGATGCGAATCAGCTGGGGAAGCAAGACACCGAGAGCCAGGGCCCTCGCGCAACGGTTCTCAGAGCAAGGGAGGAGAAAGTGTCACGCGCGCTCCGCAGGGACAGGATAGGGAGGGACCCGAGTGGGCAGCTGCTGAAGAAGGCCGGCCCCACAGGCCTTTGGAGTGCTTCCCTGCCTCAGCCCAGCCATCTTTCCCAGAACCAGGCCTTGCTTAGGTTGGTGGTCAAGGGAGGGCTCGGTGGGAGGAGGTAGGCTGGCCCGCCGCGGCTCCGCTGCCCCAGTTCCCACTAGCTCGGTCGCCGACTCCGGGCGCCCCTCTGCCTAGCCTGGCTGACCCTTTCTTCCTCTGCTCCACTCGCCTCCACCCTGTTTCCCAGTCTTGTCCCTGCGGGCGAACTCGACTTCACAGCACTCTCCTGCCATCGCCCATCCAGACCCAGGCCCCCAGGCCTCCTGGGTCTGGGCCTCTCCAAGGTAGAAAGTCTGGATCCTGGACCTGAGGCCTGTTGTCCTCCGCCATCCTGGGGTTTCAGATTGGCTCACTTGGCTTCCCCTAGCTGCCCTTTCTCGAATTTACTCATCCCATGTACCCATCCTGGAACCAGCAGGCCTCAAGAAGCCACCAACCATACCCAATTTCCTCTCTTCTGCCTAGGAGAACCTAGGTTTCTCTCGCTTTGGAGCGGGTGGAGTACAACTTCCCTGAATCCCGTTACTCCCTGAATGTGAGTGGCCCTGGGATCAGAGATTCAGCTAGGGCAGAGCATGGGGACAGTCTACCTGAAGGCATAAGAAGCTGACTTGAATCCAGAAAGGAACCTGCATAAAGAAATACTCCTGGGAATAGGTGTGGTCACTAGAAAATTGGGTGGCCACTGCCACTCTAAGGACCCGCATGGATTAAGGCAGTTACACCACCAAGATATGAGGACTTGTTGGTCACTTGGAGTTAAATTAGAATGCCATTCTGCCAGCTGAGGGGTTCTGAGTCCAAAAAGTGAACCACCAGTTGAGTTTCACTAAGAAATCTGCAAGGCTTCCAGAGATAAAGACAGTCTAATGTTTCCAGCTCCTGGGGTAATGTCTTGAGTCCTTGCCAATATTATGCATCACACCAACCTAAAAGCAGGTTTTCCTCTTGTCAAGATGACTGAGTTCTGAGCCCAAACATGATCCGCCTCCACTCTACCAACCTTTATGTAGAACAAATAAATCTCATTCATGGGCATCAGTGGGATTGTCTCTGGTACAGACTCTTAGAGGTGTGAGTAAAAAGTGACCCTCTCTCCTCTGGGATAGAGCCACCTAAGTCAGGCAGAGACACATATGTGGGGTTGCTCCGGTACATCTTCACGATACACTTTTGTAATGTACTCACACAGGTAATTCTCTCACATTTGTAAAGCATACTGGAAATATTAAATATGAAGTACAGTTATCCACCTGACTGAAATGGAAAGCAAATGAGCCCTCACAAATCCCTCTGCCCCTCCCCCATTTAATGACAAGGATGTTATTACAGGCCTGAAATGCCCAGGATGTCTTTTACTGCTAATCCCTCCTAGGCAGGGTCACTGGTATCAGTCACTGCTCAATTACTCGAAGCCCCACCACAGCTAAGGGTGGAGGCTTCCATAAGTGAAGCCAGCCCAACACTCAGGAAGGGAAACCTTCGTTGTCCAAAATAAACAGCCTCCCATAAGCCCTAAGCACATTTTACCCTTGTCCTCTGGTACTCTGAAGACATATCCCCCTCATGTCTTCCAGGGAAGCCATTAAAAGGTACAAGGGAGGCCGGGGCGGTGGTGGTGCATGCCTTTAAACCCAGCACTCGGGAGGCAGAGCCAGGTGGATTTCTGTGAGTTCGAGTTCGAGGCCAGCCTGGTCTACAGACCGAGATTCAGGACAGGCACCAAAATTACACAGAGAAACCCTGTCTCAAAAAAAACAAAACAAAACAAAGGTGCAAGATTATGAGGATTATCTGCCCTGGCTGCTGTGAGGCTGGGACACTCCAAAAAAAAAATGACCCCACTCTCTCCACATCTTTCACCCTTCCTCCCTGGTTGTGCGATTGCTTGAGAGAGATCTTTAGCACTGGAAAGTCCAAGGACAGCTGGGGTCAGAGGTGAGCAGAACTGGTGTCCCATCTCTGACCTTGCTGCCCCCACCTCCAGGAAGCTTGCTAAGGATCCAGGGGGCTGCCAGGCACACAGAGAGCACTCTGCAGGCTCTCCATAAATATTGTTGAGGGAAGGAATGAGTAGCCCTGGGTGACCTACAAAACCTGTCTGATGGATGGGGTGGTGTGAGTTGGTAGTCAGAAGCCCCTGTTAACTGCCACCTACACACACACACACACACACACACACACACACACACACACACACACCATGGACCCAAGGACTGAGTTGCTGTGGAAAGTCAGCAGTTTAGAGGAAAAGACAACTGATAAAGGAAAATCAGACTGTCTTGCAAACGGTGGGGTTCTCCTCTGTCTTCTGGGTAACCCTGCATGACCAATGTCTCAGATTTCCTCTGAGAAAGCAAAGCTGGGGGCCCTGGAGGCCCCCCTGTTCTGCTCACCCTGCCTTCAAAATGGAGGCATTCTCTCCAGCAGCTGGCATAAATACTGTGCCACCAAGATGACAGGCATGGACACACCACAGTCTTCCACACAGTGAGGCTTCTTCCGGGACTCCAGTCTCTAAGGCCCCTAGACATCCCCTGTGCGGTTGGACCGGGCCCTTGGCCAAGGAGGGGTAGTGTGGAAGGAACCTTTTGTTTTATCTTGGAAGGGGCTGGCCAGTGGAGGCAGGAGGCCACCGGAAAGAGTGGAGCCTCCAAGCTCTAACCTCACCCTGCAGTTGGCCAACCCTGTGCTGACTCTTTCAGTGGAGAGGGATTGGGACAGGCAGAAGAGAGACAGCCTAATTCACAGATCCCTGCAATTGGTAGTCCAAGCCTGCTGCCACCTTTGGCTCAGACCAGTGGTGTTTTCCGTATCAATCCAGATGAGAATCTAACTGGTCTTGATAGATCTGAGAATGCTCCATAGTTCCATGATCAATGCCAGGAGGCACCAATAATCTGCTCTGTCCGAGGTGCCCCCTCGGAGCCTGCTGCCTCCTCGGCAGGTCTCCAAACACTAGCCAAAACTCATCATCTGCACCCCAGCCTTTCCAAGAACCGTTTCTGAACATGGCAAATCCTTCGGAGGAGTGATGCACCAGTCATCTTCCCGGCTAAAACGCCCTGGAGAGGAAGCTGGACAGACGCACCCGGTGCTTGGAGGCCCCCCTGAGAACACTGGGTCTTTGCCTTGAAATGGTTTGAAACGACCTGAGCACGATCTGGCTCTTCAAAACACGCAACCAGTCCGGTGGTAGCACCCAGCACAAAGGTTGCATGGGGCTGGTCTGCCTCCTACAGTTGCACCCGAAAAGCCGCCCAACAGACCGTGGCTTCAAACAACTAGCTGCAGGGACGGACATCTCCAGCGTTGAAGGCTCGGCTGGGTTTCCACCGGTCCTTGAGCCTGGGGAGACCTCCATGCTGCAGGCCCGGCCTTGCTGAGCAGGCGCGGTGCAGCCAAGCCAGGGCCGCGTTGAACTGCGGAGAGCTGGGCAAAGCCCCAATCCTGGGCCTCTTACAGGGGGGCAGGGATCTCTATATCTCAGTCTGTGGATACGTTCGGAAACCTGGCCCAACACATGCCCGAAGCAGATGTTGAGAGCTCTAGAGGACTCGTTCAGAAAACCGAACTTTCGGAACTTTTGGAATTTAATTTTTTTTTTTAAATTTTAGTGTTTGCGGAGAGTACTTTAAATTATTTTCCAGTGGTTGTTTCGTTCTGTATTTTTTCCGTCGCTTCGTCTGTTGTCAGCAGAAGAACCGCATTGTCACCGCTGGTCTGTGTGGCGGTCATTTGGTTCTGTATTTTCCCTTCTATGTATTAATCACCCTCCCACCCCACAGGAAACCGAAGCGGGCGGCAGAACGAGGCCTTCTTGCTGCTCTTCCGACCAACCTCATTTTTCAGAGAACGATGGGGACCGTTTACATGGCTCTGTTCTCTCGAGCTTTCTTCCCCTGCGTAGTAGTCACGGTGGATTTCCACATCTACAGGACCCAATGAGGGGGCGCTGAGGACAAATCTTTGGAAAGCTGGAGCTGGGGGTGTGGATCGCTGGGGCTGGGGAAAATCGAGATGTGACTTCCTTGCGTGTCGCAAGGCGATCTCCGCTCCAAACTCACCTTCAGGGTTCCAGCACCATCCGTTAGAAATGGCATCTGTGTATCAGGCAGGCCTCGACGCCATTGCCCAACTGCCTCTGCCTCCTGTTTCTTTCCATTCCATTTTAATCGGGGGCGACAGGGGGAGCCTATGAGGATTTTTGTTTTTGTTTTTGTTCTTTTTTTTTTTTTTTTTTTTTTTTTTTTTTTTTTTTTTTTTTTTTTTTTGCCTTCTCTTTCTTGTTTGTTTAATATGAGAGAAATTGGCCTGGTTCTCCGGGGATCCAGAGGCTGTGTAAGCCCCTATTCTGCACCGCAGATGGAGTTGATCTTAGGAAAGGCGTGGAGAGCAGCGCGCCCTCCCCCGGAGACCCAGGGTAGCCCAGGAGCTTGGGAAGAAGGGCTGAAGGGCGGTTAGGACTCTTCCACCACCTGCAGACGCCTGGGGTTTCCAGCGGCCTAGACAACTGCGGAGAATGGGCAGC